GAATGTTTTTGTGAAGCGTCTCTCTTTACTTTGTATTACCTCTGTTTTCTTTACCATCTACTCACTCAAACATTTTTTAGTTTATGGAGGATCTTGCCGTAATGTAGCCCTAAATCATCAGAGTTCTTTTGAAAAGAATGTTGTTAAGTTTTAGAACATTTATATTTATGTCTTACCCTTAATTCTGTTCGGTGCACACCAAGAAGCCTGGTATCGAGTCCAGGTAACCTGGCTAAACCAATCAGAATCCTGTTATCACATGATGCCACAAGTTCATTCAGCTCCTGAGTTTTCACTTCTAAAAACAAATAAATTCACCATCTAGTAGGTCCAATTTTTATCTTGTGAATTCAAATTTTGAATAAACATAGAATAACATACAGGCCAAATACTTTCATCAGGCATTTGCGATATATTCTCATATTTAACGACGCTGATTTTTTTAACGCGCCATAGTTGCGTTTAAATTTTATGTCGAGTAACAAATCGCACAGAAAAATTCGTTTGGGGAAGGGTTCTGTATATTTTCAAAAGCACTTCTTATTAAGTCGGCAACGTTGCTAACCAGATTTTAAAATTTTCCTTTAAAATTTGTCTCGTTCAAGGTTTCGTTGAGAGTTCTCTCTCGTGCAACAGCTAGAGATCAAAAATCAGCGTTTACGATCTACTCGTGTGACCTTACACTTTCAAGAAAGTTTCCATCTCGCTCATTCACTGAATATCAGTTTGAGTTTTCCTCCTAAATCCTAACAGAAAGTAGTGCCACTCCTACTGATTCTTTAAAATCACCTGAGTGGCTCTCAACGACTACTTTAACCCTTTCACTCCCAAGATTTTACTAAAGTAATCTCCTCACTGTCTGCAATACAGTTCATAAGTTGTCATTTGAAGAATTGGCATTGGATCAACTAATATTGCCCTATTTGACATTTTTCATCATGCTCATCAAGTGTTTGCTTAATATCATATTGATACTGTAAGGAGAAATTCTCTCTTGGTTAAGAAGAGGTCATTCGTTTTAAGAAACTGTGCACTCTCCGGGACAAAATAGTTGAGAGAAGGAGACAAATACCACAGTTTTTGTAATGAAGCTATATACCGTATTTATTCGCCTATAAGCCGAGCGATTTTTCCAACAAATTAAACTGAGAACAGGTAAATTCTCGCCAAGGTAGGGGGTTCGGCTTATAGCCGAGTATTTTCGCCAAAAAAAATTTACGGGTGCTTAACAAGATTCGAAATTTGACAACATGAAAAACTGGCCAATCAGAAGCGGTCATTCCCACGGTTTGTGTAAACATTGCAACACGATCTGACAGATATCAGCTGATCGAAGCTTCTCATTGTTTTAAAGAAACGAAAGACTTACCTTGACTCCTCTGCTCTGAAAACCAGTCCAGTATTGTTTGATCCAATTCAGGATACTTTGGCGAAAAGCAGCCCATCGTCTTTCGCTTTGCTGACATTTTAAGCTCACCATTAAACAGGTTCGCTTGATCTTTTCGCCAGCGACGCACCATCGATTCACTGATTCCGTAATCTCTAGCGATCTAGAATGATCTATGTTTATTCATAACCTACTTTTTGGTTGCATGTTTTCCGAGAGGGAAGCTCCTTTTGTTTTCGGTTTATGTTAATTCATCTCAGTTAACGACACGCGTGGAGTACTTTGCAATTATTAGGTCTCGGCTTATAGCCGAATGTTTTGTGTTTATTTTTTATTTCAATGCAACAGCTGCTGACATGAAAAAGTTTAGGGTCTCGGCTTATAGCCGAGATCGGCTTATAGGCGAATAAATACGGTAGTAGGCAACTAAAAGAAGATGAACCACGTTGATCTCAATGTACATGTATTCTTACAGTGCTATCACTGAAAAAGAACAGGGAGAGCTTACCCAATACAGGTGCATATTAGAAAAGGGGCACTTATTAACAAAAACAAATTTGAGGGGGGAGTTTATTAGAAAGGGGGCCCTAATTGGAACAGCACACACTAAATAAAATCAGATGACAGTAGTATAATACAGTTATCCTTGCTCAAAAGGAAAGTACCCTGAAGGAGATATTGAGAAGTTCTCTTAATAAGCATTATGAGAAGTCTTCATAGATTTAAAATTCACTCTCTGGCCCATAAATACTTTAAAGAGAAAAATACAATACAATTTAGTATTGTTTTCTAACATATTTATGTAAACTAATATCTCTTAACCCTGTACTTATTATCCATTTACCATCATGAATCTTAAGGGAAGCCAGCACTTGTGTTCCAAGTATCCTCACATCATCATCATCAAACTCCTGAAGAAAAGCGAGGAACTTCTGAGGTACTGACAAACGAAGGGCCAGGGGAGATGATAGAGCTGTTAAGACAAAAATATTAAATTTAAACTCATTGTTAAAAAACCCCTTCATTTGAAGGGGTTTTTGAATGTGCAAATTAAAGTTTGTTTCAACCCTTTGCCAAAACTCTTACAAAGTTTTTTTTTATAGATCTTCTCAGTGAGCCAATGACTCTGTTAACAAAAACCTTTATGTATCATATAATTTTCTTGTAGAGTATAAACTTGCAACTCACAAGTTTATGAATCTATGAAAAGACAAATGGCATGAATTTAACGTCTAACCAACCGCATTCATATTCATCCAAACATCACTGGTCAGTCAAACAACTTGAGATTTGATTGTTTTTCCCTTCAGCCATTAAGAGTAACTAACACCTAATTTCTCTATACATTGTTGCCACTAAATCAAACAGTAATGTTTAACTTATGAGAATCCAAGAAATGACCACCCACTCAAGAAGCTCTTGACAACAAGTTTTCTTTGTCAGTATCATAGGAAATGGAAAACAGTATGGAAAATATACCTACTGATGTTAGGATGTAAAGAGTTAAATTGTTGGAATCTTTTGTTCTGCTCTCCTTTTAGTTTTCATCATCTGAATGAACCCAGTTTCATGAGATGCATTTCAAAAATGTAATGATTATGTTTAGCACATTTAATAATGAGTTCTCCAAGTGAAAAATAATCTAGATTTCAACTGTAGATATCAAATTGAACAACCTTACTATACTATACCCTAATTACTATACTTCTTAACCCAAACAAATTGCCTAAAGACATTTCCTTATTTGAAAAAATAATCTAGATTTCAACTGTAGATAATAAATATCAACCTTACTATACTATACATTAATTACTATACTTCTTAACCCAAACAAATTGTCAAAAGACATTTCCTCATTTGGCAACTTTGCCAGTCGTCCAGTCAGTTAAGATAACCCCCTGATAATCAAATTTATTTAAAGCAATGTTCTAATGTTTTTGGAGTTATTGACCATAGATACCTTTGGAGAACTGCAATATCAAGCTGCTTGGTACAATTGACCACAATGTTTTTTGCCAATCTTCTGTATCAGTAAATTTCCAAGCTTCATCAAGCCAAGGTACTGATAGAACAGATAATGAAATGGCTAGTTTTAGTAAATCATAAAATTTACAAATGGACAAGTCTGGCTCTCAAGGAACAAAGAAAGCACCACAAAAAGTTGTTAGGAAGTCTTTTTAATCATCTTTTTCATTATGCAAATAAAAATGTTTTGGTGAAGCCTCTCTCTTTATTTTGTATTACCTCTGTTTTCTTTACCATCCAATCCAAAGCTGGTACAATAGACAGTTATTGAATGAGGTTGAACATGATATCATGAAGAAAACTGAGGTCTGACTTATCTGCTGAAGGCAAAGGCTGAGGCACAAGGTTTGATAATTCTTGATATCATGCAAAAACCACATTCAACAATTGTTTTATTACACATTTTTGAACATTGTGCAAAAAGGACACCTCTGTCTGAGTTTGTAAAACTCTGAGAACATTACAAGGACAAGAAGCCTGGAAACTTGGCAGACTTTGAACTTGACAAGATGAATGCAATATCTGCAGCAGATTGAATCAGATTTTAATCGTAAGTCTAATGTAAGGGATATCTACCATATGTTGGCATGCTGTAAAAATATAAGTTCAAATTGTGATTACTTCACGCATTATTAATTTAAATTATTCTGACAGCAGTATTCCACCAAAGACCAAAACCTGAACCTTCCATTTCCATTTTCATTTAAAAAATTAATCTTTCACACACAAAGGAAAAGAAAGAGGCCTCTTTCTTTTGATACTCTGATGCATACCAATGAAGTACCCTTCATCCCAGGCAAATAAAGTTTGTCAAGATCGACCACAGCAATAACTACCTTGCAAACACTCAGCTAAATCATGACTGCTATCTGCAATTTCATCAGTGGTAAAATCGAAGCCTTTACTGATTCTGTTGTCTTCTTTAATAAGGAGACTTTCGATGTTATGAACAATTTCCCACGTCATGAGACCAGCACTGTAAACGAAGATTACAGCAGGTATTGTTACCATACAGTGATAAAACTTTCCATGAATCTAACTCACATTTACTTTCCATCAAATTTTGCTCAGCTTTTCCTCAAGAAAAATGCTTTAAAAATATTTCACTATTCAGAGGTAAATTTATTTGTTTCATATGATTTTAAAACTAGAATTTTTTTTTTCAATTTTGTTTCTAATCAAGTGGTTTCACCTACCCAGCAAGAATGGATGCACATAGCTGCAGAGGGGCTGAAAATGAAAATAATAAAAACTGCAAACACTACAATGCTTTGTCGGAAGAGTATCTTAGGGCAATAAATCTTAGGACATAATCGGGGAGCTACATGATGATTGCAAAGAAAAACGATCAAAGATCATCCTTTCAACACTATCTTACCTTTCCATGTCATATTTTCAAATCATCCTCGATTTGGATTACACATAAAAGCATGTCTAAACCATAAGATTAATTCTCCGACTAGAAACTAACTACTTTCTGTTTGGGAATTCGCAATTTTTTTTCAAAAAAAACTAACAGGCGTTATACGCTTTGACCCAGATCTCGTGTGACAGTTGCACTTTCTGTCACGCTAACAGGTCACGCACCAACAAGCAACCAGCGCTAAGATCAACGGATGATGTAAAGTATATTTTACCTTACGACTGTCAGCTACATCTTGGGTGCAAACAAGGAAGGTAATTTATCCTCTGTATTAACGACGTTTCTTCTACAGGAAGTTATAACGTTCACTAGTTCCAGGTCCTTTCCTATTCGAAAAGAGCAGGTGTTGGATCCACAACATGGCGGAAGGCGCATTTACGAAGGCCGTTAATCAAAAATACCCTGGATTTACCTATGAGGCCGAAGGGAAGTGGAGAGGCCCTTTCTGTTTCGTCCATGCAGCAGACACACAGTTTGGCTTGATTGACTCGTGGAATGGAGTCCCGCTTGCCGAGCAAAAGTGGGAGAAGGAGATCGTGTTAACACGTAAGGCTATCGTGGCCGCAAACAACTTGTCACCGAAACCTAGATTCTTTGTGGTTTGTGGTGATCTCGTTAACGCGTTTCCTTGGGAAGAATATAATGATTCACAGGCCGAGGATTTTAAGAAGGTTTTCAAAGAACTTGATCCGAGCATACCACTAATATGCGTGTGTGGAAACCACGATATTGGAGATTCGCCAACGCAACAGTCATTACAGAAGTACCGCAGCAATTTTGGCGATGACTTTTATTCTTTTTGGGTTGGAGGTGAGAGTTATCACTGCTTTTGGTGAAACATTAAACATATATTCAAACCTGATTTTCCTTTTGGATGTTAAGCGTAAATTTTCTCGACTATAAAAGATTTCGTTATCGCGCCCTCGATAATTTGTTTTCTATTATTCATCGTATAAAATTTCACTTTTCAAGTCCTTGATAGTGCGTTATATCGGTGCATTTGTATCATTTCATAAAAATGTATCAGTATGCCGTCGCGAGAAGCCTTTTAAATTATTATTATTTTTTTTTTAATTTTTTTTTTTTCATGCAGAAGTTTACGCTTCTATGGAGATTTTGAATTTTTAGTTTACGTCTGTAGGAAATGTACTTCCCATCCATATGAGCTATGTAGGGTGGGCCAGAGGGGAAAATCGTCATCATGAAGGAAGTAACCGCCCGTTGTGACAACCTTCAAAAGTGTCCTCCGTGGCCACGATGACTATTGGTAGATTTAATTTGATCTTTTAATAAGTTTTCCATTAGGCCATTCTGACTTAGAATTGGCATATTCTCTTAGTCTGTGGTTAAAAAAAAAGAAAAAGAAATAATGATAAAGTCAAAGAATACTTATGGCCAACTCTTGCATAAAGTATTCAATCAAGAGATGAAACATGGTTGTGAACTTGTAATTACTGGTCTTGCAGCAATGCAAGGTTGCTCTTATCTCAAAAGCCAAGCTTCGGGAAAATCATGGAGGGTTCCACAATTATGGTAACCATCCAACTCAGCAAAATAATAAATGCATATAAAATCAACAAAACCAGCACAAAATAGTATCCTGCAATTATCAAATTACTATTTGCAGAATTTGACAAATTGAGATGCTGCCATTCAAATCTTTCTTAACCTGTACAAGCTAAATTCCACTATCTTCCATTCCTATGTCACATTTCACCTCACAGTTGCACAATATAACACAACAATCTTTGTTCACAGGGTTTTCTCCCACTCCCACAAACTTAAAATTTTTGTGCCTTGGAACAAATATACCTCAGAACACATTTTATGTGACCAGAAGTTTTTTTGACTGATTGAAATTAAAGATATTCAGAAATGAATTCCACAAGTTTTCTTTTGTCAGAAAAAGCACATGATTATTTTTGTCCACTTCTGATCGATCCAGCTGCTGATTACTTAAGATAATTGAATGTAATCAAAGTTTTTGTTTTATATCAAATCATAAACAATCGAAGCAGTTCCCAGTACTGGGTTTGTGCCTGAACTTGATAAACTTTTGTTCACTTGGAAGGTGATACTTAAAGCAATGATGCATAGTATAAACTGTAACAAAGCCTCTCTATCATTTTATGCATGAGTTTGGGACAACTAATTACCACAGTGTCTACATCTTAGATTCAGGATGAGTGAGTGACTCATTGGGATATTAGAGTCCCCATAAAAACTTGTTTGCACAAGTTAAAAGAGAAAATTTTGAAAGAGCTGCTTAATTATAACATGTGCTGCATCCAGCCTACTGTCAATCACCTGATGTACAGCAAAATTTTTGTTATTATAGAATTTTGTCAAAATATGTTTCTTTTCTATGAAGCCAATACATATGTATTTTATTTAAAGATGAATGAAAAAAATGGTTACTTTAGTATATAAAAAATGTATAAACACCCTTGTTTATCTCCTTAATGAGAAAGATGAAGGACAGCTTTTCTCATACCATCTCACACTGTGAATTAAGAATCCCTACGGGATACTGCAGCAGATGTGTTAGGCCAATAAAAGTCTCTCAGTTGCCTAGATTCCCTTTCCCCACTCGAGTTGAATGTTTATATCTCTCAAGGGGGATAGGGCCACTAGTGATTTGGTCTGCGGAAAATGTGTTAGAATGTTCTCTGCTTCTTACACAATAGGATTAATTTATAGCCATGTTGCTAACTTCGTTGGTTCAGTAGAGGAGTGGTAAGGCATCAGCCTACTCATTTCATTAGTTTTATGATTTCTGTCCCCAATTTTTGTATTAGTTCATAAATATTTCAACCATTTGTGCCAGCCACTATTAGGGTGACTTTCCATCACACAAATTAAAAAAAAGAAGTTTACTTAGATAATTAAATTAATTAGATAATCAAAGCCAAATTTTGTTGCACATAATATTACAACTGATGCAAGTAAATGTATTTTTTTGGGAAAAGATTAAATCTCTCACAGTCACTAGCAACCATTGCAATCTCATGGTCCTGATTTCTCTTTTCTTTTTACAGGAGTCTTCTTCATTGTTCTCAATAGCCAATTTTACAAAGATGCAAGTCAAGTGATTGATCAGAAACAAGAACAAGACAGATGGCTGGATGAACAGCTTGAGTTTGCAAAATCATGCGATGCACATCATATTGTGATGTTTCAACACATTCCTTGGTTTTTTGGCAATCCTGACGAGAATAACGATTACTTTAATATCGAGTTAAATCTACGCAAACAAATGCTATCGAAAATGAAAAATGCAGGGATCAAATATGTATTTGCTGGTCATTATCACAGAAATGCTGGTGGCTTTGATCAAGAGTTGGAAATGATTGTCACGAGTGCTATTGGCCAGCAAATTAACAATGATAAAGATTCTGGGATGAGGATTGTATGTGTGGGCTCAGAAAAAATTACACATGAATATTATGAACTTGACAGTGTTCCAACCTGCGTAGCTCTCTAGTTATCTGTTTGATATTCATCTGTGTGGAAGATTTATGAAAATCCTGTGCAGTCAGATCCAAAAATGAAAACAAGTTATGATTTCAAGAATGAGAGGTATCCTTTTCATCATGTTCTGCCCATTGAACCAACTTTACTCAAGAGTCATTTAATTTCAAACACTAGTTATCAGCTCAATATAATCATAGGAAATTTTATCAGAGTTGGGTTAAGAATAGACTTTGTCAGGGACCCCAAGTCCTGTTGTTTATTTGCTTAGTACCTGGTAGCTTGTACTGTACTGATAATTTCATTAAATCAATAAATCAGTTATTACTTTGAATTACAGTTTTTAAGTAATACTTTGAGAAAGAATACCAATTCAATTATGGCTTTGGCAAGAATAGCTTTCTAGGGAACTACCAAAAAGTAATGGGATGGTTAGAAGGCCAGTAACAAAGTAAATAACAAGTGGGGGTGAACTTTTATGTCAATAGCACTTACATGTAAGCCTGGAAAAACTAAGAGACCAATAATTCACTTGTGACAGTGGTTACATGTGGCACATAAGTGAGAATAAAGAAAAAACCAATCTTGCATCTTCCTTCAACATGTAACTAGATCATTTGAATGCAATTTTTCTTGCTTTTAATTTATTTTTTATTTCTTGATGTGTGCCATATTTATTTAGAAGATTAAAACAGAAGCTGTTTTAATGGCAGTACAGCAAATGTAGTTGGTTCTATCAGTTACCTGCTGTCCTATCCTATAATGTATTAAAACTTATTTTTACTGTCATGTTAATCACTATTAATATGACTTTGTATGGTTTGTAGTTATTGCACAAATTTTAGATTATAAAAAATAAATTGAAAGGAAGCTTGATCTGTATGCATTACTGAAATAGTACCACTTATAAAGCCAATGGCAATATTACGTAATATGTCCTTGTTTACAATGCAATTGTAAATAATGTTTATTTGATTCTTAGGTGGCCTGTAACACTTCCTGAGTCTTTGCTTGAAATTAGTACTTATAAGTTTTAAGCTTTAAATTTAAGTTTATTCAAGTCTGAGAAACTTTGTCTTAGTTTCCACCTTACACTGTTAACTCAGTACAACAAATGGATATGATTTTATTCACTACATGTACCTTACAATGACTTTGTAAAGTTACTGTAACAACTGGTACTTCATTTCTGTAAGTAATAGACTTCATAATTATATAGAGGACGTAATAGGGATTCATCTTAAGCATGATGTTGAAGCTGCCAGTTGTTAATCCTGTAATTTTTATCCCTTCAAAAGAATTGCAGAACAAGAAGAACCTTTCAAGAACAAATGTGAATATTTCAAGGAATTTTCAGACAGTAGAAATTTGATTTTGCAGTGAACATCATGCTTAAAATCTTGTCTCTTGTCACATTTGATCAAAGTCTCCAATCACAACTCAAGGATGGACACACAGGTCCTCTTATTGTACATTCAATGGGTAAACTTGTTTCACACAAACATACATGTACTTTTCAGTACCCAAAATGGAAGATACATTTTGAACTAAGGATTAAAATAACTGTTTAAAATTGTGAAAATGATGAAAATCATGAACTTTGAATTTTGACATTACTTCATTGTTAGTACTTGTGCAACAAGAATCATAAAATAACCACTGAATTCAGAATTGCTTTCCTGAATATTTATAAACATTTTTATAACTTACAGAGTTAAGATACTCAATACTATATAGATCCTCAAAAATATATATCAATGCTTCGCATACAGGAAATTATTGTAATATTAAGATTATTACTCAAATAAATGTTTTAAGCTTTGCAGCATATTACGAGTTATCCACTGATAAAATTTGTCCACTAGTCGCTTTTTTTTTTCAATTTTCCTCCATTTTAATGATTACAAAAGAGAAATAGAAAAGGGTATAATATACTGAACTAATAAAATACCCTCTATATTAACTCCCATTTTTCATTATTGAAACAACAAATTATACACTAAATTGCCTATGTTAATTAAAGCCTCTCTTAGCTTGAGCAAAACATCCTTGTCATAACAGAAATGTTTTCACTTTACCCCAAATGAGCATAAAAATGTACTGTACTACAGTAAGCTGACACTTAAATATGAGTAATATTCTCACTACACTTGCCAAATTTAAGTACTGCCAAAATTTTCCCAAAACACAAACCCAAATTTTGGCAGATGAAAGCAAATACAGGTCTGATACCACACCATAAAGACATTGACCATCATAATCCCCTCAAGATGTAATTTGTTCTGTCAGGTTGGGAGTTTTAAATTTGAATACAAAGAACTTCCATCTCTTTGTGACAGTAATAGAATCAACATCAATTTCAGACTTGGAATAAAAAGCAGTTAATGGTAGTTACATTTTTTTCAAAGCATTTGGAAACCAGGCAGACTTTGAACTCAACATGACAGATGCAACATTCACTGCAGACATTACATTTATTGTGCAAGCTTCACATGCAATTTTATGATGATTGAATACTCTCAACCACTCAGCTTTTTCATAATAAGTCTAATGTATAGTAATACTTTGAAGAAAAACATGTTTCAACTTAACTCATACCATCATAAGTTTAAAGCATTGTCTCCATCTCCTTGCCTTTACACATTTACATTAAAATTATGTTTACTTAACAATTCAAATTCAATGAGCTTCCCACTTAAAAAGAGCAAAAACACTTGTTTAAAAAGCAAATTATTTATTGATAAGGAAAGAGTAGACATTTTCTTAAATCATACCTCAGGTAAAAACATGACAGAGAAAAAAATAGTGCAGCATTATGACTTAAAAATGGAAAATCTCACTGTCATCGTGTCTGTAAGGAACAAGAAAGTTAGAGCTGTTAGTAACATTAAAAAACCAGATAAAACACTGACATAATAGAGAGAAGATAAGTTGCTCACTAAACAAATTCAATGTAATCACCAGAAATGCAAAGGAGTAATTACAAACTTCTTTTAAAAGCTTAAATAAGCAAAATATATAGATAAATATTTATTGTTCCACCACCATGCAATGGAATATAATGTGCAAAATATGCCACAGCATTACACAAAAATATGGATGGAAAGCTGAGTTACAAAATGGATGCACCGAATGATCCAAACATTAATTTTTATATTTTAGCTTGATGTTCAAAGAAACAAACTTTACACATACTAGTTACTTATTGTTGAACACAAAGAACACTTGAGTAGTTTTCATTTGTGTTGATTTTATCTTTTGCGCAATTGATAATAAAATCAGAAAAGGCCATAAAACTAAAAGGTAAAATACAAGAAAATGAAATGAAAGTGGAATAAAAAATCTTCCCTTGTTAAATTGTTTAACATGTAATAGGAACAGACATTATGTTCTTTGTATGTATTTTTCTGTGCCCTTACTTGACTCTTCGTAACTTTAAACATTACATTACATACATATTTCTTATCAATAAAGTTATGTTGCTGTTCTTTGTTACTGAACACTTTATAACTCTAAGTGAGAGGGAATTGCTGAAGGTAAATTTGCAAAGGTGCAACGTCTTTATATCACTGGCACAAGCATATTTAGCTTTCAAAAAACCAACTTTTTCTGACCATTTACTGATAAAAATACCATCTTCCTTGGAAAATAAAGCAAAAAGAAGGGCGTATTGTTTAAAAAAAAAATGGTCATCTGAAATTAATATAAATAATAATCAAATAATGTAACCACAACAGTTATCAAAAAAAAGTTTTTGTACAGTTTTCTTTTCATGATCCACAATCACACACCGGTGAATTCACTTTATCATTAAGACCATAGAATTATACGACCTTATACGTTGGTCATGGTGCTTGAGTTGCTGGTATTAGGGCTTTCATCGGGGGATGAATCAGCTGGTGCACTTTTTTGTCTACGAGGCATCTTTTTTCGAATGGAATCGGTAAATTTCCTGAAAGATCCACGGCTGCGTGTTTTGCCAAATGTTGACGCATATTTCCTGTCGTTGCGTTTAAACTGACTCGTGCCTATGTGAGAATCGACTTCTCCAAACGATTTGCTTCGTCGAAATAACTTCTTCTCAGGCTGGTAAAAAAGCGCTTGATGCTGTAGAGCGTCGTGCAGAACCCTTTCTGAGGCTTTGTGGCTAAAATGCCCTTGAAACCTGTAAGAATAGCTTCCTCCGTCTTTCCTTTCATGAGAATAAACAACCACATAAAATTTCCTGTTTTGAAAAGTCATGGTAACAATTTCGTGCCAGGGAAAATTTTGAACCACATTTCCCGGTATTCCAAAGGTGTCAACATCAAAGACGAGAACTCCGCTACTACATAACGCCAAATGTACGTTATTACCATTTTTATCAGTCGCTCCATGATGTATTGACATGCCATAGAAAGGAAGATTACAAGCAATCTCTAGGAAGGCAATTCTTGCTTCGCTAGGAGTCATACCTTTATGCGAACGATGTAACTTGTAAACGATATTTTCGTATTTCTCTTCACTCAATTCAGCATCGCAGTTTATTCCGTTAGGGGGAGCGAAGAACGACCCCAATAAATCCTCCAAATAGCCACGAGTGTGCAACTTGGGGTTGAAGTCACCAAGAACGGCCTGAGCGAAAAATCCGTCCAGAATGGCGTGCTCATTGACAGAGGTGATAAATTTACCTCGAATCAGAGAATCTTTGATTTGCAAAATCAACAATTCTTGAACTTCTTTGGGTTCGACAGAGGCTTCTAGAGGATAGAACCTCACAGCAAATTGAAAGGTGTACGGTTTTCTTCGCTGAGGTCTGATCTCTTTTTCAAAATCCAACCACGTTAATTCGCCATCAACGCCATCTACAAACTGCAAGCCGAAGTAGTTTCTCGTGTTCGGCGGCAAACTTAGCTTCTCACACACTCTGTCGAAGAGTTCTTGTCCTTTAGCAGACTTGCTATCAAATTTAGTTACATAGAGAGAATTGTCAAGAAGAACAACTTGACATTCCAGTCTTCCATAAGATTTTCGTCGCTCAAATTTTACGGATTTAAAATTCGCCATCTGAAAAACTGAAAGTAAGCTTGAGCACCGCAATCACCTCTAATAAGAAGGCTTTGCTGGAGCAACCTTCACCTCATTCTTCCAAAATATGTTTTCCTTGCCATCCCTACCCAGAAAGAGTTGAATTTTTAAAGTGATAAAGCACGATCGCTCTAAGGGCAATGTCAACACATGTTAAAAAATCTCCCCTTTCCCTCGAGTATTTCTGTTTCTGTTCTCTACTGACCCCTGATTGGCTCTCGGTTGAAAGGGCTTTCTCGCGCGAATGTCGCGTGGCCGTCGTCGCTTGTAAGATGTCCTACGACATCGCTGTAGAGTTCACAAAGAGAGTTTGTCAGCTTATTTTTGCATAACATTTTAAACGAATAGTTTTGTATCTGATGAGCTCGTGTGAACTTCCTAGCATATACCTGTTTCCTGAACTTTTCCTGTCACGCAAATTAGTGTACAAACACGTCACCTGAACCGGCCAGTTATCTGAGTTATTCATTTTACATAAATGTAAACTGAATTCATTAATTTTTTTTTGTGTTCCAAGGGCACGTCGTGCACACTGAAAGAATGGCCGACACGTAGGTCATGTGGAATTAAGCAAGTTTATTAAATATTAATAATAATTAATATCTCGTGCATTACATCAGCAAAATCTCAATGCTCTTTCAAAAATAGTTTATTTTAGGATCCAGTAAAAACCTTTTACTTTAATTAATTATAATGCAAAAACTAAACAAAGAGTTAGATCGACATGCTCAAATATTAAACAAAAAATTTTAGGTTTGTTTTTAAAAATACAAACGGACGGAGCGCTCCCCACGTCTAATGGATGCACAAGATGAAAAAGCGCGACCAGTTTGTCCTAAGCACCGCTCTAAACAGTAATCCCATTGGTGTGGGCCGGTGGTCCGAAAGAACCCGTACGGCCTCAGTAGGTTCTTTTACGATAGATTATGTATGGCTCGAAGGAAGAAGGGAAAAATTATTGCAAAATCTTTCTAACAGTTGCCTGCTCTGAGTGGTCATATGATGAAATGCTTATTGACTGAATTTGGTCGGCACGGACGGGATAGTATTTGGCTCTCAGTCATGTCACAATTACCTCGCTGCTCTCAGTTTGTACGTCATAGCCTTAAGCCAAATAATTTCTCGTCTGGCCCCCCCATTCAGTCAATGTGTACACAGTATCCTTTCGTTAGATTGCGTTAGAATGCTGACAGATGCATGATGTTTTTGAAAACTTAACGTTTCACTATACTCTAGTCTCAGAAGTTGAATGGATAACTCATACTTCCTATCTCTCCGCCCTTTGGTTGAAGCTCACAGTGGTATCAATCGTACGTCCCGCAATCTGATATGAATTTTACATGACTTATTGAAAGAAGGCACTTCCGGTTTCAGAGCCCGCGGGATTGAACCAATAGCCAAAATATAATATTGATAATTACTGAATTCCATCGTTGCCGATCATTTGATCAACATCAATGTAGAGTTTGAAAATTATTAATTTATCTCCCAGGAATTCAAGTCTAAAATTGTTTGTGTCTTCTACCTTGATCCTTCTCTACGTCACTCGAGCGTCACAGTGTAACCTTATATATTTTTTTCCACCGTTTCCTTACCGAATCAACACAACCTAGATATTAGTCACGTATCTCTGACAGACGCTAAAAATATCACCCAATTGAAATACAGTGAGTTTGATAAATATTAGATCGAGTAGGTGTGCGTGCATGATGAGCTGTTTGGCATAGTTTTCTGAGGAAGTTTATACAGGAAAATTCTTGAAAGAAAGACAGTTTTACATCGTGCTGGAACAAAAGAAGTGCAATTGATTCAAGACAGGCGATATTTTCTAATACAAGTAGGTCAAGATGTCTTTAAGCTTTCTTCGCTCATCTTCAAGCATCATACAATGTCAAGTTGTGTTACTCGACAATTCGCAATTCATCACATCATTTGAACAGAAGACAGTGAAGGGAAACGAGTTGCTCGATAGAGTATGGGACAAGATCCAAGTGCCTCTCTATTACAAGCAGTACTTTGGGCTTCAGTACATTGACCGCGAAGATGGCGAATTGGTATGGTTGAACCTCGAGAAAGAACTCCCTCCTCAACGAAAATCCAAACCGCTGTTGTTTCAGTTCGCTGTGAAAGTATTTCCTCGGGACCCTCTCAAAGTGGAGGAAAACTTGCAGTGGCTCATTTTGCTTCAGGTCAAAGCGCTAATCAACCGTGGAAAGTTTTCCCTCCCTGTTAGCAAACATGCCATGATTGATGGATTCTACGTGCAAGCTACGCTCGGAGATTTCAGTGGCAAGCGACACAAGCCTGGTTATTTAGAGGAACTGTTAGGTTTATTTTATTTCCCACCCACAGGTATTAACACTGATGAGAACATTAGCGAGGAAAGTTACGAAGTAATGGTCAAAGATTTGCATAAATCGCATCGCGGGATGACCCGCAAGGAGGCGGTGTCTGCGGCCCTCGACGTTTGCAAGGAACTGGATAACTACGGAGCTTGTTTACATTATGGAATAAGTGATCACAATGGAGAAGAAGTTGTGTTCTGTGTTACAGTGGATGGAATGCGTATTTGCCATTTGAAGAGTAAATTTCCCGAAGTGGGCGAAGTATGTCATAGTTTCCAATGGCGTGACATCATCTCAATGTTTTGTGATAACGCAAAGTTTTATATGTACGTGGAGGAAACTAAAGAAGAGCAAAAGTCCACTTGTCACGTGTTTCGCTTCAGCAAAGGCCTTTTCGCTTACAAGGCAGCTCAACGCCTAATGATTGACGCTGAAAATCACCAAAAGTTCTTCTTCGAAGACAACCCTGAAAGCGCGACACTCATTAGAAGCCGTTCTTTGGAAATGCAGTCTTTAAATAGGATTCGAAATGGATCACTGCTATCTGCCAAATTGAATCTTTCCTTCAGGAAGCAAAAGTGAAACACTTAGAAGTCAGCCTTGAGACCTCTTCTTGACTTCCCTTGATAAGTACCAAAGGTTTGAACAGCCTTGATGACTAAAGCAAGTCAGTCAAACAAACATTTCAAGTCTTCCATGGTACAAACAACACATGATACATACTTTGTGATTTAACCGGTAAATGCATCGTGTTCTGTTTAAAGAACCTATTTGTTCTTATCAACGGACAATATCAACCAAAGTCTGTAACACAGACACGCGATCAGTGAAGCAGAGATGCGGATCAAATCGAGAAATTTCTACATATTTAGACTTTGAGAGTGAAATTTGATTGAAAACACAACAAGTTGAAATTTTCCAAAAATTAAGATAAAAAGGCTTCTTCGTCAAACATTAATTGGCACTAATAACTTGATATATACACTAAATGTTATTTCTTTCGAGATTGGTGGACAGCCCTCTTGCTAAGCTCCATTACATGTTGAACTGCACCAAAATTATGCTGAACTAAAGTTTTTCCAAAATGAAGATATCTTTATCGTTTGATTAATCGTTTGATTTATGGAAATCGCAGAATATCTTCACCTTTTTTTACCCATGCGAAAAGGTAACTTAGGTCTTACGCACAAGTAGCGTAACCTCCGGCATGACAAGAAACGAACGTCGTACGCGTACTCTCCCTTACGAGCAGTGTTGTGTAAAAAATGAGTCACTTACATGGATTTGTAGAACGACATTTTAACCCTTTCACTCCCAGGATCTCATTACTAATTCTACTTAGTCTGCCATACAATTCTTATGATGTTAGTTTGGAGATTTTGGTATGTGATCAACTTATAATCCCCTAATTGATATTTTTCTGTATTCTTATCACCTGTCTTCTTGACATAATATTAATAATTTAAGAAGAAATTCTGTCTTGGTCACTCATGGGAGTTAAAGGGTTAAGGTACGAAAAGCAATAACCACCAATTAGCGATAAACAGCTGATACCGATTGTTAACGGCTCAAAAAGATCACGAACAACATAATAAAACCAGGGGACCAAATGAGTTAATTCTATTCATGTCTCCGAAAAAAAGGAAAACAAAAGATAAAGAAAAAGAAAGAGAAAACCATAGAGTTACAGACTAAATTAAGGGGCGAATTTCTTTTCGTTCGTATTCACTTTCGTTTTTGATCATTTGTTTGAGGGAGGGTAGGGACACGACCGTGGAAAGGTGAGAGAATGGTGTTCCATGTCCTTGTCTTTCCTGTCTTTCTATTCCAATGTGTAAATATGTGTCACTGTATTTCTAAACGATGAACTTAGTTAATAACTTGTATAAGTCGGTAAATAAGTCATTTTAAGGGACAATTGTAATCGTATGAAGATTCTTGGAAAGCTGTATGGTCTTATGTGGTCAGTACTTTATAGAGCTGACCCTTTACACTGGGGTGTATGCATATTCTCCATACTGTTCTCTATACATTTATTAAGGTGCTGACAGAAAAAACTGTTTACAAACCAGAAGCTTCTTTAGTTGGGGATTATTTCATGTATTTTCATGGTCTTTATATGTGACCGAGGGGAGAAATTAGATGCTATTTACTCAAGGGGTTAACAGGTAAAAAGAATTAAATAAGTTCTTTTGTTCAGTGTCTGTGGTTTCGCAAGTTGTGTATGACCAGCTGCACCGCACAGAGGTTCTGGAAACGAGCGGGTTCATTTTAATCGAAACTCTTCATTCATGGGTGTGAAAACATAGGAGACGACCGATAGGACTACGTGAACGTCGAGTGTGAAATTTGTGCTTCCCTTGCTGAATGGTTATATGTTACGTACTGGCCAAGTGTGAATATGGAAACATTACACACCATTTGAAAAAGCTGTCCCTCTGTGATTCTTAAGGTGACCGAAACTCAACGTCCCAGTTAAGCGCACTGTGAAAACTTCATTTGATTTGATGTGACTTGATCGGTTACAGCCGAAGAAAAAATTCCCTTCTATTATTCTTCCTGCATTTTGTTTTGTTTTGTTTTTTCAGCCACGTAAAAACAGAGAGACTGCTTATCGCACAAACGTATAATGTAAATGTAGGAGGGTAAAACATCAAGCAAATACTAATTTTTCACATGAGAATTATGTTCCTGTGCTGCCATGCCAGAAATCGGTTTCCAAACATGTCACTGATA